AGGCCCGTGCTGAATGTCTGGCCCTGGAGAGACTCTGCAGAAAGGGTTGTTTTGCCCAGTACGCAACAGCTATTGCAATAGTATTTGTTTCTGGGTATCAACTGCATGCTTCTTCTTTGCAGATATAGGGGAAAATGGCTTCAGTCACTGTTCAGCGGTTCCCAAAATCCTGAAGTCCTTAATGCTGCTAAGACCAGGTGGCAAAAAAATGACAGCTGACCTGCAAGCATGAAATGCAAAGCTTGGCTTTGCAGCTGATCCCTCAGCTGTTACTTAAAAGCCGTGTTGTTTTGCAAGGCCCAAAACCTCATACTTTTTCCTTATTGGATTAGAAACTGGGGTAAAAGCACATTACTTAAGTTCCTAAGTAAAACTGGATATCCCTAGCAATGAGTTCCCAATCCGGCGTTGCTATTAACACATACCAGTGCTCACACTGAATGCACCACCTCCTCCTTGTACTGGGATTGTCCTCTGCTCCCGTTCAAGCAGCATTTAAACCAGCAATCATCCCAGCATTCTGAGAGGGTGGGAAGTCATGGCTCTGTGAGACAGTTACACATGGAGCATCTTACCCAAGCACTCCACATCACGAGCCACGGAACGATCGCCCACCGTGAAGCATTTCAAAGGCAACACAGAATTAATCTCTGTGACGGGGGATGCTATCTCCTAACAGATAGCATCCAAAAAGCAGCTCTGAAGAAATGCATTAGCTGCCCCAAGTACAGCAAAAACTAATGCTGTGATAAATCTTGTAAGCTGCCAGAGACCTTTTTTTTTTGTTCCCCAGGCTCCCAAGTTTCCACTATTTCATAAAGCGGCAGGGAGGGATGGAGCAGCCTTCCATGTCACAGGAGGGGAAGAAATAAAGCCCAGCATTTCGGAAACCATGTGTGAGTATCTCCCCTCCGGCAGATCCCAGTGAAGGCAGTCACTAACACCGTGCACTGTAAGGGCCAAGGGTCTGCACCAGTCCCAAGCCTGAGGGTCTTGTTACACTGCACAGCCACCTATCCCCCAGCACCACCTCACAGGTCTCCGAAAACTTTTTGGCTGCTAGAGTCCAGGCAGAGGGACCTAGGGAAGGTCACCCAATCTGGTGTCATAGGCTAAAAATGGGCTGCTGCACATTACAGGTGGATGGCAGGGCTAGACGGAGGCTGCTCTAATTGGTTCTGCATTGCTAGAGACACATCGGAGGTAAAAAGTCTGAGAAACCCCACCGGGACCAGTAACTGGAATTTCCCCAAAGCCCAAGTATTTGGGAGGGCAAGCCATGAGAGGTGGCTGGGCAGCACCTCCTCTGAGCACTTGCCTCCAACAGTGAGAATGCAGGCTGGGAGCAAGGTGTGGGACCAGGGAGAGGCAGTACCTCATGCTGTAGGGGCAAGCAAAGCCACACCGGACCCGGCAGCTCTGCCGAGCATCGTTCACTGCTGGGACAGAGACGCCGCTGTGACCCGCCCCACCGGGAAGAGAGCCGGTGAGGGCTCGTGGGTCATGCCGGTGCTCCTGATGCTCTCCCTGGAGCGAGACGTTCAATCGCCTCGTGCCTCCGCCCCCCGCCTGGCGCACATCCCACGGGGCTGATGCACACCACCACACACAAAGCGTTTCATTACAAACCTCAGAGTGACAAGGAGTGTTAAGCAGATATAAAGGACATCAGTCATTTACCCATCTGGTGGAAAGTCTACTTGCTGGCAGAAAATAGAGAGGATTGTTACGGCAAGATCTACCATATGGCACCATTATGTGGAGCTTTGCAAGTGCTTTCTCTGAGCGTGCAAGCAAGATTTCAGCCTTTGAAGAAATGCTGTATTGTTAGCCTGGATACGCAGGAGCCTCTTGAAAGAAGCCGTGGCAGATGGCACAGCTTTGTTCTCTTGGTTCGCCGGCAGCTCCTGCAGCCCCAGATATTCCCCCTTGCCGGGGCTGAGCAGCCCCACGGCACAGCGATCCTCCTGATGTGCCCTATGGGAGGACTGATGGCTCCTGAAACTCCTTAAATCCCATGGATGTTGCCTGGCAGGTACCACACCACTGCACTAGCCCCAGGAAGCAAAGACCACCGACCCACGGCAGCGGGACACACTGGTGTCGATGCCAGGAGAACTGCATGAGATCATAAAGCCTTGTCCCAGCCAAGAGAGCTGCAAAGCAGTAAATCTTGCTGAAACGCCCTGCTTTTGTTTGTGCCTCCCTGCCAGCACCTGCTCCTCCCTGGGTGGCTGAGCCTGGCCAGAGCCCCAGCAGGACAGCGGACAAAGAAAAGCCTTTCAGATGGGGCCGGTGCCCGCTTGAGCGACATCCCCACAATACCCTGACGAAAACCCATTCAGCCCAGGCAGGGGGAAAGGAAGGGAAAGGGAAAAGGTCCCTCTGGGTGGAAGCAGTGATCAGTCATTGACCACAGCAACAACATCTGCATCAGCCCTGGGCCAGGGAACAGCCCCTGCGTAGTGCCGGTTGGGACAGGGCGCATCGTCCCTGCAGCCCAGGATGGACGTGGGACATTTCTTACAGGCTGATTGCTTCTGTTTGTGCTCAGGTGAAAAAACCCATCCTGTTTCCTTGTTGTTCCTCCTGAGAAACATTAGCATGGCTGCAGAACAAAACCCTAACTATTTAACTATTCTATTTAACTGTTCTCGTTTAAATCCAAACTGTCTATGTAACCCATAGCAGGGAGAAACACACCCGGAGAGCAGATCGAGCCTTTAGCTGACCCTGGAGTCCGGTGCTCCAAGTCCCTCTGCACCTCAGGCCCTGGTCCTCTGCCGCTGGCATGGGACAATCACTGATTTCTCATGCTACTTAAAAACCCCGAAGCCCAGAGAGTATTCTGTGGGATGGCTCCAAAGAAGTTTTGCCCTGTGATGTAGGCAGCAGGCTGGAATCTGCAGAGCAGGGACCTTGCTGGATTGTTGGTCTCTGCGCGAGGATGGTCCATCCCAGTGACCAAACCCATCGCTGCAATGTCTCCAAAGATACCGCCCTTCCCAGGCCTGAAATCTTCTACCCCTGCCACTCCGAGTCCCTAATGGGAACGAATGGGGCAGAAAAGTCACTACTAAGCTGCAAGAGAAGAATTGGCCAAGGACCAACCCGAGCTGGCAAACCCTCCAGACCTCCTCCAACCCCTTTGACTTCCCTCAACCCAATCGACCAAGACATCTGCAGACTTTGGAAGGACCCCTGGTCCCACAGAGTGGGCACAAGCTATCCTACCCCGGACAGTTGAGTGCAGCAGGCCGGGTGGCATAGGGCTCCCACAGGCATAAAAATCAGCCCAGTGCCTCTGAGTGCTTTCTCTGTCTCTCTTCCAAATGTTACACAGTGGGTTTATACAGAAACAGTGGGACGCTTTCCAAACCATTTAACTAATGCTGAAATTTAATACCCGACATCAACAGGTTACTGAGAGCAAGAAGGAGTTGTTGTGATGGGGGGTGGGATTTCCATCTTCACTCCCACCAAATGGGAGTTTGCCTTCTCACACCCGCAGGGGAGAGCTCAGCTTCCTCCTCTCTCCTGCCTGGTGCTGGCTCTGGTCAAAGATCTGCCTGATGGGTTTTTGGGGAGCGATACAAGCAGCTGCTTGTATGGGAGCACGGTGGGCACCCGCTGTCCCCCTTCCTATAGGACTTCAGTCCCCGGGAAGCCAGCACGGCTCCTGCTGCCAGCGTGCCCTGGAGCAGCAGCTGCCTCTGAGCCTTATTCTCATCCTTGGCTGGGGAAAAAATCCCAAAATCTCAGCAAGGGATGGAGAGCAGTAGGGCCACACCAAGGCATGTCCCAGGCCTGGCTGGTCCCTGTGAGTGGCACTAGGCTCCAGCTTCGCTGCCCCAACAGCAGTGCCCTGTGGCACAGCCTCTGCACAAAGCCCCTGGCTGAATCTGGGGGAGATGCTTGGAAAATGCCAGGCTAAGGAAAGCACTGCAGACATCCAGGTTTAATGGGGCTCCAGTGCATGAGCCTCTCCAGATGCTTCCTTCAGCCTGGCTGGCGATGCTGAGCTTTGGCTGGGGTATGGGGGGAGTTTTCCATGGGAAAGAATTTCCCCAGGAAAATCTGATTTGGCTAAGTTATCAGTGGAGAAAAATGTGGAACAGAGGCATTTGCTCCACCTGAACAAAGCAAATCTGACTGATAGCGTTTTGCTTCTTTGCAAGAAGAGGTCCTGCTGCAGGGACGTCTCATCCTTCTGGTGCGCCATGGGGTGTCATCCCACTCCTCGTTCCACAAGGACGTCTGGGCAAAACCAGCTCTTGTAATACAACCTGGAGCTCTCCTCTAGCAAGTGGCCTAGCTCACCAAAATCATGCTGCTTGGCATCTAACGGGACATGCTATGCCGTAAGGTATGACTGACCAGCATTACGCTTCCCAGCTCCCTCTACACATCAAAACACCACAGAGAAGCCCCATTTCACTGCTGAATCAACCCCATGGGGAGCATTTTGGGTCCATCCAGCGAGCTATACCAAAATGTTTTCACTTAGAAGAAATTAAAGCTTTTGTTTGGCTGACTTTTTTTAATTTTTGATCCATGTGTTTTAGAGTTTTGGTACTGAGGGGCATAGAAACAATATCCTGACTCTCCATATCTCAATCTAGCCCACACCCAAGGACTTCTGGAAGCAAAGTGCCCAGCAAGTACAGTCGCTTTGCACCTATGGGCGCCAACCTGCTTTACCGGCTCAGGCACCCCTGCATCACCCCGGGAGTGCACAAAGCCAGACCAGCCCCCAGGCCCTGTTCTAACAAATCCAAGGCTTTCTAATGAGAAAGAGAAACCACCCCAAACCTGCAGGACTTCAGGGAGGAGCAGAACTCAAGGTTCAGTGCAAAACCGCTCCCAACAGCAGAACAGCAGTCCCCGATGCTCCCTTCACACCAAAGCTTGCCTGAAAACTTAAAACCAAGCAGAGGGAGACCAGAGGGGGAAAAAAACCAGTCGGGGAGGGGAAGGAAAATAAAAAGCATCCTACTTACCACAAGCTCAGTGAACATGACGTTCAGCTCCTCCACCGGCGGCATGGGCAGCGCAGGCTCCATGGTCTGCAGGGCGAAGCTGCTGTCATTGCGCAGCCGGTACGTGATCTCGGGGTGGTCGCTGCTGCGAAAGCAGCAAAAGATGAAGGAGATCCCTCGACTGCCCCTCTTCCTTGGGGCCATGGCCAAAATCCTCTGCGTCCCTCCCTCCTGGGCACTAGATCCTGAGGGGAAAGAGAAGAGAGGAGGCTGGAGCAGCCACCCCGCAGCACTGCGCTCCCGTCCCACCGAGGGGAGGAGGAACCAAAGCCACCCACGCGCTCAGCACGCAGGGGAAG